GGTGAGGATGGTGAGGGTGGTGATGATGATGTTGACGATAATGAGGAATCCATAGATCGTAATGCTGATAATGTTGATGCTTATGATGGTTGTGATGATCATGACGATGATGCTGCTGGTGATGATGATGACGATGCTGCTAACTGCCGATGGTGATAATGAGGATGAGGATGAATTCGATGACTATGATGGAGGCAGTGGTGATAGTAATGATGCTATGATGCTGGTAGCACGGATGATGATGATGATGATGCTGTTGCTGATGCTGATGCTGATGCTGATGCTGATGCTTATTCTGCTGATGATGATAATGATGATGATGATGATGATGATGATGATGATAATAATGATGATGCTGATCATCATGACGATGGTGATGCTGCTGTTGATGATGCTGATGATGCTGATGATGATGATGATGATCATCATGATGATGCTGGTGGTGCTGTTCTGATGATGATGATGCTGATGATGATGATGATGATGATGCTGATGCTGATGCTGATTCTGATGATGCTGCTGCTGCTGATGATGTTGCTGCTGATGATGATGGTGATGATGATGCTGATGCTGATGATGATGATGATGATGATGATGATGCTGATGATGCTGATGATGATTATGATGATGATGATGATGATGATGATGGTGATGATGATGATGATGATGATGATGATGATGATGATGATGATGATGCTGATGACATTGATGCTGATGATAATGATGCTGCTGCTGATGATGATGACGATTAATAATACGATGGTGGTATGCTGATGGTGATGATGGCCATGGCTTGATGGCGATGCTGAGGATGCTGATGTGGATGACGACGATGCTTATCACGATGCTTATGCTGATGCTGTAAAATGGCGATGGTAGTCTTGGTGAACACCATGACGACGATGACGATTTCATAAGGATGCATGTGCAGCTCAACGTACGGGACTATGGCGGGGGAGCGGCGAGTGACGCGACGGCTTCTTCGCGGCTGTCTGGGTTCTGGCGGCCCAGCACGGCGCTGGGCGGCGCCCCTCCCCCGTTCGACCCGCCGCGGCGGCCCTGCAGCAGAGAGGCTTTCCGACGCGGGGCCGCCGTGGCGGCGCGCGGCGGGCGATGGCCCCCCCCGACGGGCGGGCCAAATCCAAACGGACATCGGGCGTCTCGAAGAAATCGAGGCGGAGGTTTTTCTTCGTTTTCGGCCTCGCAGGGCCTTCGCCGGGCCTCGGGGCCGTCGAAGGAACGGCTCGGGATGCCAGGCCAGCTCCAGGGAGAGTGGTCGGGAGGTCGGGGGCCCATGTCTGGGAAAAATCGAGACGTCGGGGTGGGGGCGCCGCCGTGCCAAATCCAACTTGCTGGGTCCGCCCTTCGCGGTGTCGGTCGCCTTGCGGGGGAACCAGCGGGCGCGCAGGCGCGTCAGTCCCTGGCGGCAGGGGCCCCGCAGGGGCGCAGGGCCACGGGCTCGGGCGGAGCATGGTCGGCAAGAGGCCTGCGCCCGCTATTCCGCGGCGTATCAAGACGCCCCGCGACGGCCGAGGGCTGAGCCAGCGGCGGCCGCGTCCGTGGGAACTCCAGCCGCGACGAGCCCAGCCAGTGCGGCCAAGGCGAGAGGAGTCGCAGCTGCCGCCGCCGCCAAGGCAGCCCAGGGGCGCGAGCCATGCGGCGCGCGGGGGGGGCGCAAACGGCCAGAGAACGGACGCGCTGACGACGCTTCGGGAGGGGGTGGGGCGGTCTTCCCAGCCGAGGCGCCTCGCAAGCGGCCTGGAAGAGAAGCCTCGCAAGAGTCGAAGCGGGGATGCACCCCGCTTTCCGAAGGGCGACACCTGAGCCAGGGATGTCGGTGGGCGACACGGGGTGGTGCGCCCCCTCTCACTGTCGTCAAGACAGGCGGTGTGATTGAGGCCCGCGACGAGGCGAATCGCAACGTCCGCCACGTCCTGGCGGGGGCGGAGGGCAAGTCCTGCAGCGTTGACGGGAAGGGTGGCGCCATCCTCGAAATCCGAACTCCTCGATGTCGTCGAAGGCGCAGGCGTCAACTACAGGCGCCGCCTCTTGCGAGGGGGGAAGTTCAAAGGGCTCCTCCGCATCTGCGATGAGGCCGCCGAAGGGTGCGTGGTGGAGAGCCGCGACGCTGGCCGCGAGCTGGCGCGCGTCCACGCGTGCCGCCTGAGGCCCGACGTGAAGCCGACGCGCGGGGCCGCGACGCCGCCGCCAAGCGACCGGGGCGACGCCCCCGCGGCAGGCCCCGCGGGCGGGGCGTCCTTCTTCGATGGCGACGACGCTGAGCGGGCCCCGTTGCCGCCGGCTGCTTCCCCTTTTCCTCGGGTCAGGAGGCTCGGCCTCGAGGAGAAGCTGGCGGGGCCCAGGCGGAGGGGCGGCGCGCCCGAGCCCGCGGGGCCGAGGCGAGGAGGCAGCGGCGGTGATGGCGCGAAAGCCGCAGTGCTTGCCGAGAGGGCCGAGCGTCGCCGAGCGAAGGTGCGGGGGGCCCCGCCGGAGGGCGATGCGCGCCCGAGGCCTGGGGGGCGGCGCGCCATGCCGTCGCCGCCAGTGGTGGGCGAGGACGATGCGACCGACGAGAAGTCGAGTTTTCTCTTGTCCCTGCCTATGGCGGGCGAGGATCTAGCACTCTTCGCTTGCCTCGAGGTGGGGGGGGGCGTGCCGGGGCAGATCGCGTCAGATGCGTGATGTCTCTCTCACCTCGCGACGGCGGTCCACGCGCAGTGCCCTCCAGTGACGCTGGGCGAGACGGGCCGCGAGATGAGCGCGCTCGCCGAGGTCCTGGGCGCCGTCCCCATCGGTGACTTGCCGAGGGTGGCTGACCTGTGCGCGCAGAGGTCCAATAGCTGCGAGTTCGCGACCCGCGGGGGCGGCGCCTGCCTCGCGTCGCAGTGCGAGCTGACCCCTCGACGCCCGATCGGTCGCGCAGCCCCGTCAGAGCAAATGCGGGGTAGTCAGCGGCGGGCGCTGCTCAGCGAGATCGAGGAGAAGTCCAAAAGACCGAGCGCCCCCTGGGCTTCAGGGGTCGGGGGCCTTGCGGAGGCGCATCCCGAGGCGACCCGTCAGGCCCGCGCAGCACCGGAGAAGGACTCGGCGTCGGTGCGAAGCAGCTCCGAGCGGCCCCCGCCGCCCAATTCCGGGCTCTGCTGGGGCGGGGGCAGCCCGCCCCGCGGGGGCGTCGGCTCTGGGGGAGGGGGCGGGGGGGGGCAGCAGGAAGGCGAACAGGAGATTCCTGAAGAACCGCTTGGCTTCCGTGGCGCTGGGGGCAGGCGAGCCTCCGTTGGTGGCGCCCTGCCCGCCCCCGCTCCTTCGGCCAGCGGCGCTGACTCCGCCGACGAGGGCTTGGAATGCCGCCGGGCGGCTGCGGGAGAGGGCGGGCGCGCTGCCGGAACCTGCCGTGCTGCAACGGCCGCGACCCTGGAGCCGAGGTTCGGGGCTGTGCTACCTGCGACAGGGGTTGCCAGGCGGCTCGGCGAGGGCCGCCGACGTTGGCGGGCTTCGCCGAGGTCAACTTCGCCTCCCGCAGGAGGATGACGGGGGGGCCCCTCCGCAACTTGCGCGGCGATGAGTGCGACGTCGCGAGGGTGGGTGCCCAGGTCTTGCGGGCCGTCGTCGTCGTCGTCGTCGTCGTCGTCGTCGTCGTCGTCGTCGTCGTCGTGGCCGCCGCCGCCGCCGTGGTCGCCGACTGCCGCGCGCCGCCGCCGCGGCCGTTGCCGCCGCCGACGAGCTGCGGCGGGTGCAGGGCGGCGGGCACTCTGCCGCGGCCGGGCGGCCGCAGCCGGGCGGCGCGGCGGCGGCCGCCGCCGCCGGGCTGTACCCCTCGCTGCCGGAGGCCGCGCAGGCGCAGCACACCGAGGCTGCGGCGGGGGGGGGCTCGGGGGCAGCCTACCAGGAGGGGAGCGAAAAGTGGCATAAACATAAAAACTCTGAGATCCGCGCGGATTTCTCGGATCGGCGCTGGACCCCCCTCCCTGGCGCGCGGAGCGCGCCAGGGGTGGCGCCGGAGGCGCCGCCGGGGGGCCCCAGCGCCGATCCGAGAAATCCGCGCGGATCTCAGAGTTTTTATGTTTATGCCACTTTTCGTTCCCCTGTTTCAGGCCCCTAGCCAACCATCCCCTTCCTTGACGTGCCACTCGCCTCACCTTAAGACGTCTGTGTGTGGCCAGAGGGAAGCTTGGAAGGAGAGGATGACGTCACGCAAGGTGCTGGTCACGGTAAGGGTAGGTTAGGCCGCGACCGAGGGGCCGCCACCGTGGGCGGTGGTGCCGCGTCGTCGTCGTCGTCGTCGTCGTCATCGTCGTCGTCGTCGTCGTCGTCGTCGTCGTCGTCGCTGTTGCTGTTGCTTTCGTCGTCGTCGCCGCCTCTGGCCGCCGTCGTCGTGGTCGCCGCTGCCCGAGTCACCGCCTCTGTCTGCTTCGGATCTGGCTCGTAAACCTCGCAGTGGTAGCACGCCGCAGCTGCGGCAGGGGGTGCCGCCGCTGTCGGCGCTGCCGCTGTCGGCTTTCAGCCGGCAGGTACGGCAGGTTCGCGTCGTGTCGAGGCGGCGGCGGCTCCTCGGCGGGCGTTCACGGCTGAACGCCGCCAGTGGCCCTGAATGCGTCGATGTCGAACGATCTGTGCTAACGGGGAGTCGCGGTGATTCCAGGTTAAACGATCCACGCGGTGTCAGAAACCAACGCTTGGGCCGTGACGACACGAGCCTGCCGTAACGGGGTTCTGCGCAAGCGGGGCTTAGCCAGAGCACTGGATCCTGCAGGATCAGGATCCTGCGAAATCGGATTTGGCTGAGCTGGGTCAGCTGGGTCTGGGAGCTGCTCGCGAGCCTGGAGAAAAGGCCTCGCGCACTGGCGAGTCGGGCTTGGGGAGCTCCCAAGTGCAGCGCAGTTTGTTGAGCCAGGTTTGTGCTGAGCTTGATCAGTCCACGCCCGAGGGTTAGATAGCTTAAGAGATGGCCTCTTAGATCTCAGAATATGGGTGGCTCAGCATGACTTCTAACATGCCTTCAGGATGCCGGCCTGCGGCGCGTTGCGGCCGCCTAGCGGTGCCAGGAGGAGCCGCTGCCGCGGGGCCGGCGGGACGGACGGGCGCGTCGGCCGCCGCCGCCCTGAGACGGCCCCAGGTGGCCAAGAGGTCCCCGTCGACTTCGTTGTCGTCCGCTGTTGTTGTCGCCGCCGATTGTCGTCGTCGTCACTCGTCGCCACCGCCTCAGCTGGTGTCGCCGTCACCGCCGGCCTCGTTGCCGTCGCCGTCGCCCATCGTCATCGTCGTCTCCGTCGCCGTCGCGGTCTTCGTCGCCGCCTTCGTTGGCCGTCGGGCCGTTGTCGTTGCCGCCACCGCCGTCGCCGCCTTTGTCGCAATTGTCGTCGCACGCCGCTGCCGTTGCGTTCGTCGTCGTCGCCGCCGTGTCCCCTTGGGGGGTGTCCAGGGGCCTCCCGGGAACAGCGCACAAGCGTTTGGACAGCCTCGATCATCGAGCCTGCGGGATCGAGGAGGAGTCCAAGGGCGACCTGCGTGCACCGTGCCACGGTGGCGTCTCTCGGCCATCGCTCGGTGGGGATCAGGGAGGAGTCCGCGGACGAACAGTGTGGACCGTGCCGCGTTGGCGCCTCCCGAGGCGTCGCCGATTCTCGGCCCAGAGACGGTGCTGTGCACACACGCCGGCCGTTGAAAGTAGGTATTTACCCCAAGCGCCTTCTCTGCTTCAAGAACCGATCTATCTTTGTTTTTTCGTATCATTTGGGCGGGCCCGAATCCAATCCGCTTGATCCGCCTTTCTCTTTCGGCGGCGAGCGAGGGGTGGAAACGAGGCCTGCTCAGAATCTCAGAAGCCCTCTGGCCTTCTCAGAAGTGCTTCGCGTATCCCCACCAGCCCATCCAGAAACGATACCGGGGCGAGTTGCCTCTCAGAGTCTCCTCGGATGTCTCTTGGAAGTCTTTTGGAGGCCTCTTGGAGCGTCTTGGGGGCCTCTTGCAGCGTCTTGGGTGCCTCGGGGAGCCTCTTGGGGCATCTTGGGGGTCTCGTTGGAGCCTCTTGGAGGCCTCTTGGGCGCCTTTTTGGCGCCTCTTGGGCGCCTCTCGGGGCCGTCTTTGGGCGCTCTTGGGAGCCTTGGGAGCGCTCTTGGGGCCATCTTCGAGGAGATCGATCAAAAAAGACGGACGTTCCTCTCTCGGGAGCCACAAATATCGTCTCTTGGGCCCCTCTTGGGGCGCTCTTGTAGCGCTCTTGGACCCTCTTGGGGCCCTCTTGGGGCTCTCTTGGGCTTCTCGTGGGGGCCTCGGGGCCCTCTGAAGGCCATCGGAAGCGAATACGTACGCGAGAAGGCAAACACCATTAATTTTCCTTAGGCTTTTGAGTGATTTTGGCGTCTTGGCGGCCTCCTAGGAAGGCTCCTCCGTGGTTTCTCGGAGCCGTCTTGGAGCGGTCTTGGGGCCTCATTGGGGCATCATGGGAGCCATATTGGGCCATCCTGGGCTATCTTGAGCCATCTTGGAGGTCATCTTGGGCTCTCGAGGTCCTCCTGGAGCCATCTTGGGCCATCCTGGACGCTCCAACGCCTCGCGAAACCTCGCCTCCAGGTCCAGGGGAGGGGGTATGGGGGAGGGGTCAAGACACCCTCCAGGTAGCAAGCCGTCTAGCTCACTTCCACCCGCCCTCCCAACACACAAGTAACACCCGAGCCTCAGCATGTTCCGCGGTCGTCTTTTGGTAGACAGCTACTGGGAACCAAGACCGAGCCCATGTGCGCGACGCTGGGGGAGGTGCGCCACGCGTGCCAGGCGCGCCACGCGCGCCAGGCACCCCTGGGGCCCGAGCGTGCCAGGCACGCCTAGTGCGCCAGATGCTCCCTCCAGCCGCGCCAGGTGCGCCGCGTCCGGGGCACGTGCAGAGTATGTCAGGTGCGCCTGCGCACATGACAGCACACATCAGGAAACATGTCGGCCCCAATCATCCCTGCCGAAAACCAATGCCCATCATTGTGTCTGGTGGGCCTGCGCACAGCAGGCCACACACCACCCCCGCCGTCCCTGAGAAAAACTACTTGACAATGATCGCGGGGTGGCCGCGCACTGTCCACATTTAGCCGCGAGGTGCATTTTGTATTGCGTGTTTGTCAGGGATGGTAGCCCTGCGCGCAGCAGGCAATATGCTGACACCCCCGCCGTCCCTGTCGAAAACCAAAACAAAGTGCCCGCGGGCCTCACGAACATGACTCCAGACTTTGCCCCAAACTGTACTGTGTATTGCTTTTTCCCCGACCTGGCGGAGGGGTTCCCGTTTAGTGTTCCCCTGGGGGGGCCTGGGGGAGTACCCCCCGGGACATGGCCCCGGCCACGGGAGGAACGCCGGAGGAAGACGGCAGAAGACGGCCCCATTTTCGCAGACGCGTTTCCGAGAGGCACGGACGGCCCCAAGATGGTCCACAAGATGGTTCAAGAAGGCCTCGAGTGGCCGAAAGATCGGCCGAAGACGCCCACTATGGCGTCCCGACGTCCGAAGAAGCCCAAAAGACGCCCCGAGAGGCTCCCAAAAGTATTTCCAGGAGAGTCTGACATATAACAAATCATTAGTTTTCCATGGTTTTTGAAGGTTTTTATGGTTCTTACATTTTCGGCTTCCCGCCGCTCCAAGACGGCCCAAGAGGTCCCAAATAACGCCCCAAGACAGCCTCAGAGACCCCCCAAGAGAGCGTTCAGATGGTCCAAGACGTCCTCAAGACGACCCAAGAGGCCTCCAAGACGGCCTCACAAGTGTTCCAGGCACGCCCCAAGAGAGCCCCCAGAGGGGAGGCAGGGGCCGATTTTTCGGGTTCTCCGCCCCAATGACCCCTCCAGCAGCCCCCAGAGACGCCCAATATGGCGCCCCTGACGTCCAGGAAGCCCCAAAGACGCTCCGAGAGGCTCCCAAAAGTATTTCCAGGAGAGCCCGAAGCGTAAAACATCTGTAGGTTTCCTTTGGTTTCTGACTTTTTTTTGTTTTCGCCTGTTCGGCTTCCCGCCGCTCCCAGACAGCCCAAGATGCCCCAAAGAACGCCCCATGACAGCCTCAGAGACCCCCAACAGCTCGCTCAGACGGCCCAAGACGTCCTCAAGACGACCCAGGAGGCCTCCAAGACGGCCTCACAAGTGTTCCAGGCACGCCCCAAGAGAGCCCCCGCAGCGAAGGCAGGCGTCGTTTTTTGGGTTCTTTGCCTCAGTGACCCCTCCAGAAGCCCCCAGAGACGCCCAGTATGGCGTCCCGATGTCCCAAGGAGTTCAAAAGACGCCCCGAGAGGCCCCAAAGACGTTTTCCAGGAGAGCCCGAAACGTCAAACATCATTAGTTTTGCTTGGGTTTTGGCAAGTTTGTTTGGTTTTCGCTTGTTCGGCTTCCCGCCGCTCCCAGACAGCCCAAGATGCCCCAAATAACGCCCCATGACAGCCTCAGCCTCCCCCAAGAGAGCGCTCAGACGGTCCAAGACGTCCTCAAGACGACCCAAGAGGCCTCCAAGACAGCCTCACAAGAACCCCAGGCCCCCGGAGGTTCCCAAGAAGCCCCCAAGAGGCCCCATTAATCCCTTCGGAGGCCCCTGACAGGCCCCCAAGAACCCTCCAGAGGCTTCCAGCAAACCCCCATAAGCGCCCAAGATGGGCCGAGCACTGCCCCAAGAGAGCCCCAGGACGGCTGGAGGCGCCTCGACACAGCCTCACAGCGTCAAACGGACAAACGGGAACCTGATGAGACCCCGAGTGACGCCCAAGAAGACCCCAAGAGGCCTCCAGAAAGCCCCGACAAGCCCCAAAGAGAGCCCCACGATCCCAGGAATGCTGGAAGCGCCTCGACAAAGCGTCCGAGCGACAAACGGACAGCCCTGGGACTCCCTCAGGATTTCCCCAGGACGGCTGAAGGACCTGAGGAGGCCCCAAGAGGCCTCCGAGCGTCACAACGACAAACGGACAGCCCCGGGACTTCTTGGCTCGTACGGAAATTTCCTGAGCTCACCTTACCAGGTCTGAAGCAAGCCCCCAGAAGCGCCCAGCAGGGCCTTAGGACAGCCCCAAGAGGGCCCCACGACGGCTGGAGGCGCCTCCACAAAGCCTCACGGCGTCAAACGGACAACACGGGATCCAATGTAATGCACGTTACGCAGCACAGCGTCAGTCGGACCACACGGGAACCAATGTAATGCGCACCCTAGCCTTCCCCTTCTGGGCTCGCATGGAAACGTGCTGAGCTCACCCCGTGGCTTGCATGGTCGCGTTCTGAGCTCACCTCCAAGACGCACAGTGTTTTTTCTGGCCTCCTTTCCTTCTGGACAGCTGTCGCAGAGAAACCCCAAGCGACTTTCTGTTTTGCCAGAAAGCCCTGCCAGAAGCCTCCAGGAGGCTGGAGGCTTCAATACGGCCGTATGCGGCCCCCGACCGCCGCAAGTTGTCTAATTCAGTCCTCATACAGTCAGACACGTCGCCGACATAACCTCCAACCAAATCCGACGGCCCCCAGGAGCCCCCAGATTATCCAAACTCAATTTTCTCGCCCGTCATCTGCAACCGCGCCCCCTCCCTTCCCTGTGGCTCGCATGGACACGTGCTGAGCTCACCTCGTAACTCGCCTAGTCGCGTGCTGAGCCCACTTCCAAAACGCATCCTCATTTTCTTGGCCACCTTCTCTTCAGAAACGTTACCGACACAACCGCCGACGAAATCCGAGGTTTCGGGTTCTCCGTCCCAATAACCCCTCCAGAGGCCCCCAGAAGCTCCCAAGAAGTTCCCAAGAGGTCCCAATGACCCTGAAGAGGCCCCACGAAGCCCCCAAGAACCTTCCAGAGGCTTCCAGCAAGCCCCTAGAAGCGCCCAAGATGGACGCAACACTGCTCCAAGATAAGCCCAGGACGGCTGGCGGTTCCTCGACAAAGCCTCACAGCGTCAAACGGGCAACACGGGAACGTGATGAGACCTCAAGAGACCCCCAAAAGACCCCGAGATGCCTCAAGACCTCAAGACGCCCCCAGAAAGCCCCCGGAAGCTCCCACGAGGGCCCCAGGATTGCCCCAATACCCCAGCACTGCTGGAATGGAAGCGCCCCGACAAAGCGTCAGAGCGACAAACGGACAGCCCCAGGACTCCCTCAGGAGTGCGCCAGGACGGCCGAAGGACTGGAGGAGGCCCCAAGAGGCCCCCAACACGATCCCAACAAGCCTCAAGACCTCACCACGCCTCCAGGAAGCCCGCAGAAGCGCCCGAGAGGGCCCCTAGGACTGCCCCACGACTCCAGGACTGCTGGAAGTGCCTCGACAAAGCCTCACAGCGACAAACGGACAGCCCCGAAACGTCCTAGCTCGTATGGCATTTTCCTGAGCTCACCTTAGGAGGTCTCCAGCAAACCCCCAGAAGCGCCCAATAGGGCCTCAGGACAGCCCTAAGAGGGCCCCGCGACGGCTGGAGGCGCCTCGACAAAGCGGCACAGCGTCAAACGGACAACACGGGAACCAGCAGAATTTGTCCTATAGGCATCCTCTTCTTCGTTTTTCTCTGTCTCGCAATTCACGCCCACTTGTCCTCCAAGGTCGGGGTTCGTGACAATATCAGGTTGGATAGTGGGGGGGGCCCGCATCGGGTTGGTTGCGCATGCTCTGAATTTGGAGGCAGAGTGCGTTTTGTATTGTTTTTTGACAGGGATGGTGGTGGGGGGCCCTCCTGGTGTGCGCATGGTTCCGGGTTGGCTGCCCACCGGGTGGGGGAGGGGGTGTTTGTTAAGAGGGAACAGTGATAAACCCCTACCCGAAGGGGAAGGGGCAGGGGTTTGAAGAGAATCTCCTCTAGACCACCCACGCCCAGAGGGCTGGTGGGATTGTCAGAGCTTTCGTGAAAGGCTTGAGAAACTTCTTAGAAGGCCGGGTGCCTCCTGGCCTTCTTAGAAGGCCCGCCCCTTTCTCACTTCTCCCCTGGGCTGGCCGCCTTCCTACTTCATGTTTTCATCTACTTCTTCCAGTTGGCGGGTATTGTCTCGGCCCTCAGTGCCGAGCACCTGTGCACCGCACTGCACCGCGCGTGTGAGCCGCGCACTGGAGGGAGCGCAAACGCGATGCGGTCCTGGAGGTCCGACGTCACGGACAAGGTGTATCGTAACAAACCCGTTCGGAGCCTTGGGCCCTATCTTTGCGCGGCATTTTCTTCGAGTGGGGCGTTCCAGAAAGGGCCTTGCTATCGACGGTCGAATGAGTTACCATCTCGTCCTCGGCGGAAGGCGGTGGAAGGCCAGGGGTAGGTTGAAGTTGTCACGATGGCGACTCCGCCAGCGCAAGCAGGCGGAAGGCCGGCGAAAGCAAACAGGGGCCCTCCGTCGAGCAGTGGCGCAGTGGCGAAGCGCCCTGGCTGGCCTATGTAGGCCCGCCAAAGACTGTTCTAAGAACCTTCTGCGGTTTGCACGAAATGTTTTGAGAACATTTCTTGCTGGGATTGTCTTGCTTATCACATCAGGCTAATTTTCCAAGAACCTTGTTTTTGTTATTCTCCAAATCGGCTTGCCCTATAGGAGTCCTAGCTCATCATTAGTAATTTGTCTTTAGCCCCCCCTTTTTCCAATATCCTCCCCCCTTTTTGTAATGCCCCCCTTTTTCCAATGGCACTTGCTTGCTAGCTCTTGCTTGCTTGCTTGCTCTCGCTTGCTTGCTCTTGCTCGCCCTTGCTTGCTTGCACTTGATCGCTGGCTCTTGCTTGCTTGTTATTGCTCGCTTACGCTTGCTTGCTTCCGCTTGCTGGCTTGCGCTTGCTTGAGTTTGCTCCCGTCCTCCTCCCGTCCTGCTCCCGTCCTCCTTTCGTCCTTCTCCCATCTTCCTCTCGTCCTCCTCCTCCTGTCCTCCTATCTGTTTCGAGTCAACGCTGGCTGATATAAGAACATTTTCGGGTTTACGAAGATTTCGGGGTAGGGCTATAGCAATGCCGGGACGGTCGGTCCCTGCTCGACTTCAAGAGATGACAACAATTTTGGGTGGAGGGTTTCCGGAACACGCCAGATCGACCCGTTCGGGTCTTGGGTCCGGGAACACGGCAGATTTGCCCGTGGTGAGCAAGGTTCTGATTGACCCCAAGGGGACCAGCTGAAAGGGGGTGCTGCAATAGAATTGGTGCAATAGTTTTGTGGCGTGCAGTACATTCCAGTGCGCAATTGTATTGCTGGTTTTCCGTGTGCAATACATTAGTTGCAACACAATGCAACACAATGTTCCGGCGCAGTACACTTGCAATACAATTGCCCCAAATCTATTGTACCACCCCCTTTCTCACCGCCCACCAAACCACCCCAACCCAACCCGAAGGCCTCAATTTGCCCTCCATTTCCAGTGTGGGGGGGTCCGGGAACATTGAAAAAACACACGTGCAGCCCATACCCCCCCCAACCCGAAATTCGGGTCTTCGGGTTGGGTTGGGGTGGTCTGGTAGGTAGTCACTTTCAGCTGGACCCCCTGTTGGGTCGATAAAAGTTGTGCGATGCCAGGATTTGAGGGGGGAGGTTTTTCGGGATCTCGAGGTCACCGCACGGTCTGTCACCGCACTGCTCTGGGCCCCCCACCCCCAACCCCGCCGGTCCTCCCTCCTCGGGCCTCTCGGCCCTCGATACTCGAACTTCCTTCGAACGGCGACCCTCGCGCCTCCCTCCCCGACCCTCGCGGAGGAGGCCACCCTGTGGAGAGGTGAGATGCAGAGGCAGCACCGCCAGCATCTCTTCGACCAGGAGTTGGAGGGCGGGACCCTTCAAGGCTATCACCTTCGGGTGAGGTCTGATGGAGTTCCACATCATCACTGGTGTGTGTGTGTGTGTGTTCACCACCAGCATTCGTTCTGAACATAGTTGAGCCTGTGCCTCTCCTTCTTGCCCTACTTGCTTGATTCTGGCTACTTCGACCCCCCGATCCTCGCGCCTCCCTCCTCGCTCGTGGCGGGCAGCGTGCGACGCCAAGCTCTCCAGGCAATGGCAGCGCTGGGGCGGGGCACCGAATTGGGGCTCCGACGGCGCGCTGCGGTGCGCGGGGGAGCGCCTCAAGTCGGGCCTGTCTCTCTCTACAGGACGATTTTCCGACCATGTTTGGTTATTTTTGAATCTGTTTGGGTTACCTGTCGCCTTCGGGCAAACTCCGACCGTAGGAGGACATGCCCGACCTGAGGCGCGCCGCTCTCGCAGAGGGTGGCCCTCGGCGGGCGCTGCCGCGGAGGCGGTGCTGGAGATGCTCGACCAGGGCCACGACGTCGACGGCCGCCCGCCCGAGGGGGGGGGGGGGCAGGGGGCCACATGCGAACCCCACCCCTACCCCCCACGAAGTGAACCCCACCCTCCCCCTCAGAAATCGTGGGGGGTAGGGGTGGGGTTCGCATGTGGCCCCATAGGGGGGGCGCCCGCCCCGCGGGGCTCGTCCTCGACTCCTCTGGCAGGGCGTCGCTTCGACGCCGACCCGGTCTGGATCACGCGCGGGTCGTTGAAAGCAGGTCCTTTTCTAAGCTCCCCACGCCCAGTCTACTTTGAGCGCCTTCTTTCTTGAAGAAACGATGTGTTCTGATTGTTGCTTGCAATTCTTTGGGCGGGCACGAGCCCAATCTAGTTTTCCGCCTTCCTATTGCTTCATGCTTCTACCTAACTTCTTCCGACCAGCGTGAAGATCCCGATTCCGGTCAGATTCGATTTCGGATTCCGATTCAGATTATGATTTCGCACCCGAGGCCGCACCGTCTTGCCGATTTCTGCCGATTCGATTCCTCCTGACCTGGCTGCCGATCTTTTTCGATCCGATTCGTTTCGATCGCCAGTCCGACTTGTCGATTCGATTATGGGCTCTCCTGCTCACTGCGTATGTCAGTCGGGGGACAAGCAACGGTATAGACTCAAGAACTCGGGGATCCGCGCGGACTTCTGGGATCGGCGCGGGGCTCCCAGCGCCGCTCCGAGGCATCTCCGCGCGGACCTCCGAGCTGCCGTGGCTCTGCTTGGCATCGCTCGAACGTGTGCATATTTTCTCGGCGAGAACCATCGAGGACCATCCTGGACCATCGAGCAACAACAGCACGCACGACACCGACAAATCGGCGGGAAATGGAAGTCCGAGCGACGGCAAGTCTGTTATCTATAGGCTGACGCCACATCCGCCGACCCCTATATAAACTATTGCGTCTCCAGGACTGCATGTCACGAGGCTTGTCCGAATTGTGGCACGGCGCTCGACATCGTTCCTGTTGCTTCGTTGCTGTTATCGTATCTCTTGGTGCTCTTAGGCGGCCTTTTGGTGGCATCTTGGCCTGTCTGCAGGCCATATCCGGCCGCCTCGAGGCATCTTGGGCCAAGTTTTGGGGCCTCTCGGGGGCTTCCTGGGGGCTTCTTGGAGGCTTTCGAGGTTCTCTTGGGGGCCCCTCAGGGCCTCTTGGTCTGTTCTTGGAGCGCTGGGGGCGTCTTCGGGCCGAAGGCTCGAGAAGGTGCCCTGTGCGCTCCGTCTTGGAGCCGTCTGGGGGCTTTCTTCCGTTGTCCTGGAGGCTACGGGGGCTGTTGTTGGACCCTCTTCGGCCCTTCTTGGGGGCCCCTTTGGCCGTCTGGGAGCGATATTGAATGTTTCTCTGCCCGTCTGGGACGTTGCGAGAACCGAATAGGCGAGCATGCGAAAAATGATTTTTTGTTCTGAGGGAATGGGGGATTGGTTTGGCCCTTTGGCGCGCTTTTGGCCCGTTGTGGGGGCGTGTTTTGCGAGCGCCTTGCGCGCTGCGCGCCCGGGCGCGGGGTGTCCTTCTGGGAGGTCGGCCTTTCGACCCGCAACCAAGTGGGGGAGCGCCGGAAGACGGAAGGATCAAGAGTAGCGTGCGGAAGCTGTGATTAGCGAGGCATCGCCGCGAAAGATGTGGCAGATGAGTCGAAACGGGTGAAGAGGCTGTTGACGTTCGCAGCGCGCGCGAAACAGTTCGCGCGGCAGCAACACATTAGCGCCGAACAAGATAGTGAGCACGTCGCGAGGAAGAGTAAGGCTGTATGCGCGGAGTGCATTGCAGTTGGCTTGACGGCTCGCAATACGGAAGCGTCTGGGGGTCTTTTGGGGGCCTCCTGGGGGCCTCTTGGGGGCTCCTCGGGGCGTCTTGGCGGCCTCTTGGGGGCCTCTGGCGGCCTCTTGGGGCAGTCTTGGGCGCCCCTGGGGCTCGTGGGGGCGGAAAGCTAGATTTGTGAATTTTTGGTTGCCCACTGGGGCCCCTCTTGGTGCCGTCTTGGAGCCTTCTTGGGCCGTCTTGGGGACCTCTTGGGCCTTCTTGGGGCCATCTTGGGCCGTCGTGGGGCAGTCTTGGGGGCCTCTTGGGCTGTCTTGGGACGGTTTTCGGGGCCTCTTGGGCCGTCTGGAAGCATCGGAAAGGCCAGAAGACGAATTTGTGAAACAAATGCGTTTTACAAAAGAAATGGGCAATTTTTCTGCGTCGAGGGACCCTCTTGGGACGCATCGTGGAGGCCCCTTGGGGGCGTCTTGGGCCAGCTGGAGGCCATCTCGGGTGTCTTCGATCGCTATCTTGGACCGTGTGGGGCCATGTCGAGCTCTCTTGGAAGCCACTAGGAGCGCTCCTGGAGCGCTCTTGGGGCCGTTTTCGGGGCTCTCTTGGGCCGTCTTCGGCGCCTCTTGAGCCGTCTTGGCGCCCTCTTGGGCTGTCTGGGGGCCCTCTTGGAGGCTTTCTGGACCGTCTTGTTGCGGTCTTGTGGGCTTCTTGGGCGCGTCGGAAAGCCGGAAAGGCGAATTTGTGAAACAATTACGTTTTACGTAGGGAACGGGCCAATTTGTTGCGTCTAGAGGCCGTCTTGGGGCGCATCTTGGATGCCTCTTGGGGCCTCTTGGGGGCATCTTGGGCCAGCTGGAGGCCACCTTCGGTGTCTTTGATCGCTCTTGGACCGTCTGGGACCATATTGAGCTCTCTTGGAGGCCACTTGGAGCGCTCCTGGAGCGCTCTTGGGGCCGTCTTCGGGGCCCCAATACGGCCAGGAGGGCCCCAAGACGGCTTACGAGCCGCCCAACACGGCCCAGGAGGGCCCCAACACGGCCACAAGAGATGCCCAATATGGGGGAGCCCGAACCGACATGTGGAGCCTTCCACTTCAAGAGGCCACCCAGGAGGGCCCAATAGATTCCCAAGAGGCCCCAAGAGGCCCCCGAGAGGCCCCAGGACGGCCGATGACGTTCCCCGAAGGCTTTTACGACGGCTGGGGGAACACATCGTCCGATGCTTGGCAGAGCTCTTGCCACAACGCTCGGCCGCACGGGCGATTCCGAAAGCGGGGGGCGGTGGCGATTCGCCGCAGGCGTCTTCGATCCGCCCCCCAGTTGATTTATCACAGGGGTGCACGGCGCGCTAGACCTCTAAAACAGGGCTAGGATCGGGATAAATCGCTCCAGAGCGTTCCGGAGCGCTCTCAGAGCGTTCCGGAACGCTCTGGAGCGGCCTCAAGAACGGAAGCCCGAACCGACCATTCGAGCTTTCTGCCCCAAGAAGCCCCGAAGGAACCCGGAAGAGGCCCACAAGACGCCACAAGAAGGCTCCAAAAGGACTCCCAACAGATCCCCGAGAACCCAAATTCGTTGATTTTCTGTGCGTCTTTTGAAGGACTTCGCCCTTCTCGCCTTGTCGGCTTTCCCAATCTCCATGCCGGCTCAAGGGGTCACCAAGACCGCCAGGAGCCCACCAAGACGGCCCAAGGTGGCTCCAAGATGGCCCAAGACTGGCCAAGAGTCCCCCAAGAGGTCTCCAAAACGGCCCAAGAGGCCCCCAAAAGGACCTCCAGGAAGGCCCGAAGAGGCCAAAATCAATGGTTCTTGGCTGCTTGAAAGATGTTGGCATTTGCTTGTTGTCGGCCTTCCAACGACCCGAGGCGGCCCAAGGGGCCCCCAAGATCGCCCTGAGGAGTCGTTCAAGAGCCCCAGGCCCCGCGTCGCGACGTCTTCTCCCGGGGCTTCTCGCGGTTTCTCGCGCGACCGTTTCGGAGCGATGGGGGCTCCAGAACGGGCCCAACAGGGCCCAAAGAGGCCCACGACGGCCCAGAACGCCCCGAGCCGCCCAAAGATCGCTCCAAGACGCCTTGAATGGCCTCAAGATGGCCCAGGAGGCCTCCAAGATGCCCCAAGAGGCCTCGAAGATACCTCCCAAGAGGACCCTGAGAGGCAACAGCCATTGATTTGTATTCGTTGTTTCAAACATTTGGGCGTTCTCGCCGTGCTTCCTTCCCGACGCTCGTGTGAAGCCTATTGGATGTTCGGTGAGATTTCGAGGGTGACCTTTAGGGAGCCTCTTGGATTGGATGCAGTTTTGAGGCCTCTTGGGGGCAGCTTTGGAGCCTCTTGGGGTCGCTGTTGGGTCCCGTGATGATTTTGGCAAGGACCTCAGAGCACGCCCACTCCGTGCCCAGAGGCACGGTGGCGGATCTACAGAACCATGGTAATCCGATGATCATCGTCCCGACAGGTCGCATCGCATTTCCGAGCTCCAATGGGGGAGCCGCCTGGGGGTATTCCAATTTGTTGGTTTGAATCGAGGGAGGTGGCAGAGACTCAGGTTAGCGGTCGGTGGATTGGGCGAGGTGGCGAATATTATCCAGGAGCAGCAACGACCCCATCAAGATGAATACGACAGAAAAGACTAGGAACACGGCAGAATAGGCCCGAAGAGCGAAGGGGCAAACCAGAAAAAGACGAGGAGCACGGCAGAATAGAACCCAAGAGACAAGGAGCACGGCAGAAGATGCCCCAGGTGCGAAGAAACACTACAGAAAATGACCAGGAGCACGGCAGAATAGACCCCAGAGCTCAGGGGCACGGCAGAAAGAGACCAGGACCACGGCACAATAGACCCCAGAGCTAAGGCAGTGCGGGAACTGAACTTCCGCAGTTTCTCCGCAAGGTCTGCCTGTGGGCCGCGGGCAAGAAAGTCAAGGCCGGGGTCGCGCACCATCAGTAGGTTGTCTGTCGTCGTCGCCCTGGACAGCATCACGTAGAGGTGCAGCCACAGAGCGCCCAGGTCGTTCGCATCCTTGCACCCTGCGTCAACAATGACTCCGCGGTGCATGCAGATTCAGATTAGACCTCGCCATCCCTGGGGGGCTGCGATCTGCGAAACTGTCGTCACTTTCGAGGGCTGCTGGTGGGTCCAGCGGAGTGAGGCACCACGCAGATTCAGATTAGACCTCGACTTTCGAGGGCTGCTGGTGGGCGATCCAGCGAGAGGTGAGCGCACCACGCAGATTCAGATTA